CTTAACTTCCAGAAGAGCTTATTTAAGAGTTTAAAGGAAATCTTAGCTTTCAAGAGGAGTCCAAGCAAAAAAGAAAACAGGTTTTCCAAAAGCTGGTACACGCAAAGGGTGGTCTGTGCTGTACCTCTACTGCAGCTCTTAACTTCCAGAAGAGCTTATTTAAGAGTTTAAAGGAAATCTTAGCTTTCAAGAGGAGTCCAAGCAAAAAAGAAAACAGGTTTTCCAAAAGCTGGTACACGCAAAGGGTGGTCTGTGCTGTACCTCTACTGCAGCTCCCAGTCCTCATGTGCACACACAAGCAGAAACTCAGAGCCCGGTGATAAATATGCTGTGAAAATATTCCAATTAACCAAAATGGCTTTAAAAAAAAGGGAAAATTGTTTTTAAACAGTTTCCAGCTGTGTGTTACATGAAATATTTCCTTTAATGCCTGACCACCCATCTCAAGTTCTCCTGAGATGACCACAAAGCCACTGTCCATCCACAGACATCTGCAACCCAACCATGAACGCGCTCCACCTGTGAGCCAGGTGAAGAAACCCAGCTTATGGTACGGGATGACAAGTCAACCTGGAGTCTTGGTCAGGCACAGGGCGAGGAGGGGGCTGTGGAGAGCAATGGGGTGGCACAGAAGAGCCCATGAATTTAAAAAAAGGAGTGAAAAAACCCCTACTTTCAGGTTTATATTGCTGAGTTCAATGCTCTGTGCAATCACTCCAGTGCAGCAGCTCCAAAACTCTTCTCCTAATGATCCTGCTTCTGGCAGCAACCACCCAAGCTGCTACCGAATTACCATCAAGACTATGGTCTTAGTTATAACCTCATCGCCAACCTGGGAGTTATTATTTTAAAGTCCACCTCTTCATAACATCTGTGCTGGGAAAGTAAAGTGCGACTTTAAATGACTTGGCCAGGATAACAAGGGAAGAAAAAAGAAATAAAAAAATAAATAAATGAAAGCGAATATTTGATCTTTTAAATCCCATTTTAAAATCCCAGCAGTAGCAAAGCTGGGTTTAATAAAAATAGGAAAAGATGCATAGAGGAGAAGTAAGTTTGAGCAGACAGCAGTCACGGACCAGTAAGCTCAGTTTCACAGGAAGCAAAAGAGACCTCAGTGATACGAACTGGACAAAAAGAACTGAATTTCTGAGCCCTTATGATTTAGAGACATAAATTAATGATTTCTACCTGTGTATGAGATGGAAGCTTGGCCTACATGTTTTTTCTCTTGAAAACTGCTTCTTTAACTCAAGTAGTTTGGGTCCTAATAGGAGTATGAGAACGCATCACATCCCTGGACACCAGGAAAGGCACAGAAATGCCTGAACCCTGCCCGTCTCTCCAGCGAGAGACCTCTTTAACCCATCCAAACCCCTGCAGTATTGATCCTCAATGGAAGAGGCTGCTCTCAACGTCATTTCCCTCTCACTACCCATCATTTCACCTTTCAGAAAGCAGACAGTGAGCAGAGGAGAGGCCTTGCAGTCAACAAAACGGAGTGGAAGGAGCCCATCTCGGTGTACACAGAGGATGCACTGCCTGCACAGCCCCTGCATCTCGCTGCTCAGGCTCCCGGTTTTCCACTCCGCTGCCTTAATGCCACACTCAGCTGCTGTGGACATTTCCCTATTTGGCCTTGTTTTCTTAATAAATACTTCAGCTGCAATCCGCAGGCAGCAATTCATCCCAATGCAACAACTGCTGTGCAAGTCATTCAAAATGCCACAGTTACTCATTTTCTGACTAAATTGCGCGAATTATCCAAAAGGCACACTTGTTATTAAGTAGCTGACATTCCAATTTCATCTCTTTGCGCTGCAATCTACAGTGCTAACAACACAAACCTCAAGTTTTCCTCTGAGATTACCTGGTTACGTTTATGACGTGAAAACCAATACTGCAGTTTGGGGCAGGGGGGAGGGAGGGAGACGCTGAGAACGTGAAAGTCTATCCAGTAAAAGTAGAAATAATGAAAAGTCAATCTGCTGGGCACATTCGGAGAATCACAGAATCATTTAGGATGGAAAAAGACCTTTAAGAAAGTCCAACCATTAACCCAGTACTGTCAACTCCACCACTAAGCCATGTCCCTAAGTGCCACATCTACACGGCTTTTAAATCCCTCCAGGGTGGTGACTCCACCATTTCTTTGGGCAGCCCCTTCCAATGACAACTCTTTCGGTGAAAAAAAAAATTCCTAGTATGAAACTTCAAGCCCTGGAGTTCACATTTGTGACAGAAAACAGCTAAGGGATCTTAGTTCCCAAAACTGCTCCTCTGTTTTTGAGGAAAGGACAGGTTCAGACTCCTACCACCACCACGCTCACCAAGAAGCCATCCAGGTTTGTGGGTGACATCGACAGCAAAAGCAGCAGCTCATGGTGAATCCTCCTCCTTCTTAGGACACACCATAGTATTGTTCAGAGAGCACTTTAACCACAATCAAACAATTACTAGATTGAGAAATGGGAAAAGTCGTCAACAACACAATTCCTATTACATTTCGAGCAGTAAGCCATTACAGAAGCTGTTTCAATGGTCAAGGCAGATGGACGTGACTTTGGCGGTGATGCTGTTTCCTGACAGCAGTGACCCACCAGCACTGGAGTCACAGCTTCCCCTCACTTCCCTCCATACCACCAGCTTTCTCCTCATTTGGGATAAATACCAAATTCCACCCAAAGTCTGGGTCAGCTGTGAGGGTGGAAAGACCTGAACCAGTGCATCAGAGGGGTTGGACTGGATGATCCTTAAAGGTCCCTTCCAACCCAGTACATTCAATGATCCTATGATCACCCTACGGTCACATTATCACAGAGGTTTGTGGAATTTTGCCAGGACAGAGGAATGTTATTTCTGCCATTACATAGATGAGCTTTCTCCTGGGCACAAAACCAGGCTGTTGTGTCCCACACCTGCTAAATCCAGGATGTCAAAGAGAAGAGTTTCCAAATCTGCATCAACTGAGCAACTGCATGGCACTCCCCCATCACACTTTCTTCTCCATGAACAATTACGTATTAGCTGGAAGAACCCACATCAGGAAGTTGAAAATACCATGGCGTTTGTCACAAATTACTTGATTTTTCATTTTTATTTTGCAAGGTCTTTGCAGACGTAGCATGTTATAAATACAACATCTGTAGAAACTTAACAGCTGAAACAATATCTCATTTTAAAAGTGCATGTCAAACACACATATTCTGACTTCTTCACATTTTTATGCAAGTGATCAGTAACACTGAACCTAATAAAACCAGTGCATTTAAGTCCTTAGAGGGAAAAAGCAGCAGAACATATTCTTCCAGACATGAATTTTCCAAGAGAGTCTTAAAAAACACACTGCATCAATACCTGGTTAATATACAGAGGGATGTGTATATATATGTGTGTGTGTGTGTGTGTGTATTCATAGGCTCGCAGATAGAGCAAAGAACTATAAGACCACATATTAAGATGAAGGTGATCTAATGACCCAGCTGGCGTAGTTGGCAGAATCTGTCAAGAAGAAAAAGGTTCTTTGTTCTCCAGCACCGAAACCACAGCTAAGAGAAACACTCCAAAGCATCACTGACCAGACAGTAGGTAGCACATTTCCTTCCCCTCATCAGCAGAACTCGTGTTTTAACACGTAACCACGTTCCAAACATAAAGGCACAATTAATGGAGAAAGGGAAGAAATTATCATTATTTCTTCATAGAGGTGCACAGGGGACTGCAGGACCCTGGGCCACCTCGAACAGATCAGTGATAAAAGGGACAATGTTAGACAAGCAATGGGGGAAGCTCGCCTTCCGCTTTCCCTGAACAAAGGTGCATCTTATGGTCAGACAAGGCAACAAAACCAGTGATCATTCAGCTCAGACAACAGATCTACAGGCTCACGGTTCACGCTCTGGCAATAGAATTTTAACAAGTGATCACCTAATTTCATACAAGATAAATACCCTTTCACTGTCATCTAAAACCCTGCTGTGCCACACCTAGAAAAAGTAAAAGAATACATCTAAGCAGTGGGTGTCCACTTGTTAAACCACTATTTCCCTAAACAATCAGACTTTCAGAATTAAGAAAACCTAACTAACATGAACATAACTCACTGCTCCCCTCTCAGATATGGGGGATTCAGGAAATCCATCTCTGGATTTGAGTCACCTAACTTAAAAACTTGGCTAGAAGTTACTTGTACTGAATCAGGCAACATGGACTAAGACTCACTAATATTTAGAAAATAGGAAAAACGTATAGTTCTTAAGTTCAAATTTTAGTTTGTATTTACAGAAGTAGGAAGAGATTGTAGGCATGCCTTTCAACTACAGATTTCTGTGGGACAGCGGAAAAAAAAAAGAGGAGTTGAAATTTAAAAGGCTATCATTCCAAATACAGTGACGTCACAAGTCTCTAAACACACACACATAAGATTCAGAGGTAACGTGGTTAAGAAAGTCAAAACTTTTTATACCCATTCCTCCACTCGCTTTGAACTGGCCTGAGTGATGACACGTCAGAAAACAAAAAAGGCACAAAGCAAAAACTTGAGATGCTACAGGATGAGCTTTGCTGGCTAATGATTTGTACATCTATCCCCGGGTATTCTCCTCTCAGATGCGTACCATACACAGCAAGATATTCAAATGCAACAGAAACTGAGCAATTCCACAGGCCTGAAAATCAAAAGAAAAGAAAGAAAACCTCAAAGAGGAGAAAACCTGCCAGCGTGCGGTTCCCATTCACACTCCTGACTCAAAGTGAAACTCTGAAGGTAAAATTTACTTGTGCAATACCAACATTATATGTAAACCAGAACAACCAGCATCGCGTGATGACTCTGCGAGCTCAGTGCTGCTATCGTATGCTGTCCAAATAATGCACTTCTGGGTACAGCGTGTTAATAAGGAGAGCCAAGAGATTATTGCCGTCTCGAAGACAATGTTCAGGATGCTTGATGAACTGAGAGGCCTGAGAGAGCTGCTCCTGATAATCCACGTATTGCTTGTTTGATGCCATGGATTCAAGAGCATTCACTGCCTACAGATACAAGGGAAAATTCCGTTAGCAGCGTGTACTTCGGTCCGTAACAAACCATGAGCCACCATATTCACAATTCCCCTAGAAAACCCCTATTTGCTAGAGATCCTGGAGTATCTGGAACAAAACACTTGTAAAATACAATCACTTAATAACTTTTCAAGTCATTTCATATTTTTCAAGCTGTTCCTTCCCCAAGATCAACACAACTGTTCTTCCAAGGCTTGCTAGGTTTCTGTAACCCAAATATTGTCAAATATTTACTTTGAGCTTAAGAAACTGTTTCACGGAAATTACAGTGAACTTCAGGTTTTTCTTATGAGTATCTTTGACTTTCATAATAGTATTACACTGATCACATTCATAACATCACAGATACAACGTCAAGTTAAAAATTACATGTAGAAGAAATCATGCTGGCAGTACCAGCAAGGGAAAACGCTGGAAATATGTCTGAACAAGTCTCATTTATCTCTTAGATAAGAGAAACAAGTTATAACAAGTAAGTTACTTTGGTTTGTAACCAACTCCCTCCTTCCTCTTATGCACATACTGAAACAGTCACACTGTCAGTGCATGTGCTAAAGGAATGTTTATTTGTCACATGGCTTTTAGGCCCTGATCTCACATAAACAAACATTAGTGTGAATGTAGTCCTGCTTTATCACTGAGAAGCAGGGCAATCGCAGCTGCACTGTTTTTTCCTGTTTGTTTCAAATTCCTCCTACCTGTTCTGTTCCAAAATTTCTCAACTCAGGGTGTAAGTCCATCTGCACCTTTTCAGTGTTTAAGATTACAAACTGATGCCTTCATACTAATACAGAATGCTGTATAAACAGTTGCATTCAGCCTAGGATCAGTTTATGTTAAGGCTCAGACACACGGTCCTGCTACCAGACGCATTCCCCCATCATAATTAAAGCCAACAAGTTGAGAGTAGGATTTAGCTCGAAGCAACGCTTGCAGTGACTTCTACAAGCCTCAGCCCACAAGCACACAAAAAGGACACATCAAGAAGCCAGCAATGGCACACATTACCTGCTGGGCCTTCGTCGACAGCTTTGGCTCTGTCCCCGCTTTCAGGCGGACTTGAGTGTCTCCAGGAATCTGCACCAAGAGGAAGGCAGACAAACTGCGGGCAACCACCCGAAACCTTGCACAGGGACAGAGAGAGAGAGAGAGAGAGAGAGTGGCATCAGTTTTGCAAGTCCTCAACAGCTGACAGAACTGGAAGTTTGAACCCATGAGATATCTCTTGCATAAGGAACATTGAAAAAGGTCCTCTATGCATTAGAAAAAACCCACATCACTTGACTGTATACCTTACAGTGTATCATACATACTAGAGGAAAATATAATACAATACCATGCATAGGAAATGTTACATCTGTTTCAAGCTTAGCTGAAGCCTGAGGCCACATCTGAAATACTTCATTTCACAGCCTCTGAAACATAGTCATAGTCCAAATCAGAAGACGAGTTGAACAGGACTAAGATTTCAGAGCAATATTAACGGGACTGCACACCAGAAGGTCTCTATAAACACAAAGTTATGTTTAGGTACTATGTTGAATTGGTGTTCCACAAACATTTATGTATTTTTTATTGGCATTCTTTCCAGAGTGAACCTGATTTTAATGCCAAACAATGCAACTTGGTGTCTCTCTTTAGAGGGGAAAGTGACTACCAAGCAAGCACGGTTTTCTCTGAGCATCTCATAACATTTCCAATATCTCAAGGTTAAGACAGATGGAAAAGGCAAAATTCACGTAATCACACAAAATCCTTGAGATGTCAAGAGGAACAGCCTGCTACAGACCAGGTGAAAGTATTGCTTTCATGAACAGTCTCCCTCCAAACCTCACTGAAGATGGACATTTAAGCCAGAATCACAACTGCATTTCCTTTCTTTTTCCACCAAGAACTTTGCAGAAGTTCATGTTCACTGCTTAACCCAATAAAAATGCTACAATTTTTCTGTGACAGGCTCAAACAACTTCATAGATCTGGGGACAGCCTGAATTCAGAGCATCTTTTGACATCGCACTGTGCAGCCTGGATCCCAGCTGCAGCTTTTTGAACATGATGACTCAAATTAATTTACCACATCTTCAGCCCTTACCTGGGTGACAAGGGGGACCTCCTGCCTAGTCCAATAGCTCCCAGTAGCCCAGAGCTCAGTCTCTCCTCAGCCAGCTGGCTCTGCCTGCCCTGCATGGACAGCAGCATCTGAATGACAGATGTGATCAGGACGGGGTCATCTTGCTCCATCTGAATCAAGGATAACTGCATGGCTTTGTGCCACCAAAGAAACAGCTTCGCCTCTTCCTTTGCTGAGCTTCAGGCAGAAATTAAAGAATAAAATAAACTAAATACAAATTAAAAACAGTCACATGCATAGGTTAAGTTTGTATTTCTCTCCATTAGGCTCATGAAGAATTCAGATGGTTAATTAGTGACAGCTAATTGTACTGTATGAGGACAGCAGAACTATACTACTCCACCAGTTGTTATACTGCTGTAACTGCTGTTGTTACAGACGCAAGGCAGACATCAGCTAGCAGGTTTTAAGGGCCTGTAAGAGGACAAAGAACAATTTTTCCTTTTAAGTTTTACAACTGAGAATAAATGGTACTGCAGCCATAAGTGCATTTAAACTTGTCTGACCCTTGGAATAAAAGGAATAAAGCTGTATCTCCACTCTTTTTTTTCCCCCTTATTCTTACAAATAACACACTTTAGGAAGCACTAGCTGTTTTTTCCACAACAATTTAGACTTTTAATGTGATCTTCTAGAAAAAAAAAAAAAACCACTGAAGATTTTTTGTTGCGCAAAGCACAAAGTGAAGTTCTGCCTATGATATTTTTAATCTTTCCCCAAACAGTTTGCAGTTCAAGTTAACAAGCTCAGATTTTCCACACAAAGCACCAGCACGGGTTTCCTGCATCAGAGTGTCCTCGCGTTACTCCACCCAGTCACTTCCCATCCCAGCCACCCTCAGCTTTGATGTTCAGAGCAAGGCTTAATTTACTGTGTACGGCGGCTTTTGCTGCCTCCTTCACACTTCGGCAATCAAATTAATACGGTACCTACAAAAGTGGAAGCATTCTTTGAATTTCAAGAAACAGCAGAATTGTGCATTTTCCCAAAATGTTCTTTCAAAGTATGATCATTATCAACATTCACATGGAAAAACATCCATCACGTTTGCTAAATTCTGACAATTTCAGCAGCAGCTGTAAATATAGTTATTACATATTTTAAGTACAAAGTAGTATCATTCTAACCCCAAAGCTATCCATCCTCTTCCACCAGAGCCCTGTTATTATAAAATGTTGTTTCACAGCAATAAGAGGCCGATAAATCTGGGCATCCACCAGATTCACTGGGTTCAGCTTTGGCTCAGAGCTGCTGGCGGTCCTCGCTGAGCAGCTCTGAACACCGGGTCTCCCAGCATCAAACTGAGTATTTCATATATAACCCATCCCACCTAGTGGACACTCTGGAAAGTGGCAGCCACAGCAATTTAGGATGCGGTTTAAGTAATTCTAATTGAGCATAAAACCAGATTACCATTGAAACTGAGCTTTTCCAACTGAAAACCAACCAAAACTGCATCTGAACTGTTCAATAAATAGAATTCCTCTTCTATTTAACCACAACAACTCTTAGTGTTTGCACTGGAGTTTGGCAGACTCCATAATATGGATATAGAAAGACTGGCCATTTCATCCAGCAGCCTGGTGAAACTAATCTACTTAACCTGACCACCTAATTATACCAGCTGTACAACTACAGCCTTATTTAAAGGCCAAGGCAGATTCAGAAGCCTTTAGTTTCATACCTTGGGAACACCTGGTCCAGCCATTTGTTGATGGTTAGGAGGATTTTTAGTTCATTGCTAAGAGTCTGGTCTGTGTTTAGGCACTGCAGCAGATAGACATACAGGGTCAAGTAGCTTCCTAAAGACAAACACTCCTGCAGGAATTCATCCATCGTTAGCTCAGGAAGTTGGAGGGAGGCGAGTATAGGGCCCCAGCCTAAATCCTGGTGGTGAGGAAAATCTGTAAGGAAAACAAAAGGACACAACAAATAGCGAGAAAGCAGCACTTAGAACTACTTTACCGTCTTGCTTTAAGTTACAGAATTTGGGCGGGTTTAGCTGTTTTCCAGGTGATCAGTTTGTCACGCAACTCTGATGGAGGGAAAAGGAAACCCCCACTATCACAGAGCATCCCCTTGAGGTCAAGGCAAGATATTTTCCCAGCATTCAGTCAGGATTCAATTTGAAAATTTCAGCAATGTAATTTTAAGTATTTCCTTCAGGCATGCTGAAATCCGATCATGTAGAATGTGGAAGAAATCAGTACATTATTCCATAAGGATTGTGTAAAAATAAAACATTCCCTGAAAAAACAAACAAACAAACAAACAAAAACCAACAACAACAAAAAAACCCCTATACCACGGGTTTTGAGTTTTACCCATTTATTTTTTCTTAAAGTAGCCTACAGGACACTATAGGAGGGGACATAAATATCTGGTTTGCTTTCTTGAGATGATTCTTTTTTAAACGAAGTCCTCCCCTTTAGCGAGAAAAAGGGCAACCATTGCACAGAGCAAACCAATCTTTGCAGAGACAGATATAGCCCTTAAGAAAATCCACAATTAGAGCAGTTGAAAATTCCAAACCACAACAGCCTAGCTTTTCTACATCCAGATACTACAGCACATGTACGTGCGACAGTTGGGACCCATCAGATGCAAAGGAAGAAGCTGAAAGAAAGAAGGATTGAAAACCTGGGCAGTGTGAAACTTTAAGTATTTCAGACTATTTGTATTTAACGGGCATCCACAGACTGACCAAGCCAAAGCAGCAGAAGACGACGATGGGCTCCTACCTTCGTTGAAGTAGGCGGTGATGCAGGCTTCTGTGGTCTCCGCCATGTGTCGCACAGAGGCCAGGCTCTGGCACGCCGCGGTCAGAAGGGGCATCGCCAGCAACCCGCGCACTCTACCGTCGATCCACCTCCGCAGGCTGCCCCGCAGCGACTCGGCTGTTGTCACGCTGGAATTGTTCAGCATCATCAGCGTCTCCGTGAAGAGGCTGCTGAGGGCCATGTGTCGCGTTTGCAGGTCCATATCTGGAAGTCAGAAATAAGAGAGCCATTGCGGTAAATATTCGGTAAATTGAATGATAACGCACGTTTACACATCTCCAAGAAAACCTGAGTATTAAAACACAGTTTAAAGCACAGCTCAGAGTGAAACAACCAAGCTTTTCGATTATTCAGTTTGAAATATGACCAAGATGAACCCTGAAATGCTGCAATCTCCTCATACGTTTCCAGAATTCTCGATTTCCTGCTAATCCCAGTGTTGAGCCCCAGAATACGTTTCTTAAGCCATCTCTCGGCATTACCTGAACATGTTATCACAGACCACCTGAAACAGTATCCTCAAAGTTTCCTGCACTTGGCTCTTAAATGTCTAGTTACAGAGTAGATCTTTGCACATAGTGACTAAAAAGGTCACAACTGTTACTAAAGAAAATTTTCAAGCAACATCAGTCAGAGCAGAAGGAAAAATTTCAATTGGTTATGATGAAAAGTTATACAAAAAGAGGGATTAATCACTGGAAAAACATTGCTAAAGATGCTGAGACCTCCACACTTGCAGATATTTGGAAGCTCACCAGAAAAGGTCCCAAACAACCTGACTTAACTTTGAAGCCAGCCCTGATTTGAGGAGCCTGGACCAAGGCTTCCAGAGGTCCCTTCCAAACTAATCTATTCTGTTTGTATCATCTGGCTACAGAAGGAGCTGCCTCAGAGGCTCCTCCAAAAAAGCCTCCACCAGCCCCCGCCAAACATAACAGAGAAGCCAAATCTGACAGACACCACCCCTTTCCTGCACTGCCCATCAGTGGTCCTCCTGCACTTCACAGCCTGGTTGAGCAACGCATACAAATGTGCACAGGGGTGCAGGAAAGAGCTGCTCCTCTTATACTGGAGCTCCTGTCTCCCCAAAACTCCTCAGCTACAGGGAGTCTCAGCAGCAACAGCCAACCCTCCATTTCTCTTCAAGTCGAAGAGTTTTACCAACTAAGGGGATGTCCCACAGAGCCTCAGCAAGCAGCAGTACAAGTACTGAGAGACAGTTATCTGTGTCAGAGATTTTTGGACATGATCTGCTCACTCTTGCTAGCACACTTGTGGGGTCACAGATAGGAAAATGCACAGCTCCTGACAAATATTTTGGTGTAGTACAGCAAGACAACTGATTTCACCTGAAGTTTCTGTTTGACAAAGGAAGCTCAGGATGGTACTAAAACTGAGATCAGTATAAAATGTTACATGTTTGGACACACCATACTATGAGTGTACATCAATATAATTCTCCTACTTCAATGCAGTCAGTTTTCCCAATTGCACAACAGTTTAGAACCCTTTCTTAGAACCCAATCCCTCGAGACCAAGAGAGTGTATTTGTGTCATCCTCTCTTTTAAAATGGATGCAAATGCCAAATAAAATTTAAAAAAATTAAAAACTAGACAGCAAAGAAAATAATCCGTCAAACTCTTGTATATCAGTCAGTTTTACTCACCACATAACATGTTTTTAGTGTTGGTTCTGTCACTCTCAACAGCTCTGTGGAGTAACACTTTGTTTTGGGCTATATATATATACACACACATTACCAAAGCAACATGCCCTGCTGACCATAGAGGAGACGTTATAGCAATACAAGTAATTATATAGTCACAGATGTTCAACAATCCACGCAGTACAATAAAGGACCTTGACAGCTTTAAAGTTATTTGCCACTTCTTTAACACAGACCTGGAGGATTAAAGATGACCACATCATCCAGCAACTTGGACATTTCCTGTTCCAACACTGCAAGTGTAATCTTCCCACTTCGTTCTAAGGTGCTGAGAAATTGAACCACCTGGCGAATGTATGCTTGGCACTTCAGTGTTGCATCCTGGTCATCAAAATTAAAATAAATTAGAAAAAAGTCATGCTTAGAATTCTTTCCACAGTCTCAAATATGCAAAAGCAAAACACTGCAAGTAACAACAGCCCAGAGACGGTGCAAGACCAGTTCAACTTACAAGGTGGACGTGACTATCTGAAGATGCACCAAAGCCCGCTGAGATTTTCAGAAGCTTCACTATCAGTTCAGCTGCAGCATCCTTCGCGAGGACAACGGAGGGAGGGTAGTGACTGTTGCAGTAGCTGATGATGCTCTGGTAAGACGAAATGCCCACAAGCTGCCAAGGAAGGGAGCTGGTCTGTCCAAGCAGATTTATGAGAGGTGACTCCTGAAGATTTAAAGACATCAGTCTAAGTTCCACCTTATTTGCTCTTTTAAATTAATATTCACTTAGTACTTAGTATTCATTCAGTACTCAATATCAGAAGGAAGCTCGGACTCCAAAATTTGAAGGAGGTGAAGCAGAAACACCACAGAAATAGACGACAATTGGCCGACAAGCAACTCCTCGTCGTTCATGGACCAAGCTAACAGATGTGTCATCTCTAACATTCATACAACTGTACTCAGAACTGCTGCAGCAGCTATAACCAAGCACAGAAGTCAGAGATACGATAAAGTCTGAGGTGTGAAGATAGCTAGAAAGAAATGGAGACCCTGTAAGGTAAAGCAACTTCAGTAGAGGGTTATAAAAAGGCATTAAAAGTTATTTTTTAGAAAAATTAATCTAATTTCACAGTAAAACCAGGGACGAAAGCTGAGTCCCTCCATTTTCTGTTTAGTGAATCAATTGCCAACCTGGGAGACTTCTCAAGTGCTTATTCTCTTAAATACCATCCTGAACAACACAGCAGCCTACAACATCTACAGTGCAAATATGAAGACGGAAAAGTCAACAAGCCTCAGCTACCACCGTCCTCCTTTCGTCAGGTTTGTATACATCTGCAATACAAAAGAGAAGCTTCCCTGGACAATGGGAAGCACTGAATTTCTACACATTAGAGAAGGAACAAATACTGGAATTGTGTTGATGGCCAACACAATGACTTTAAGGATTCAGAGCTAACCCAAATTAGACTACATTATGACTTCATTAATGTTTATAAATATGTAAAGGGAGAGTGTCAGGAGGAAGGAGCCAGGCTCTGCTCTGGGATGGCCAATGCCAGCACAAGGGGCAATGGTCCCAAGCTGGAGCACAAGAGGTTCAAGCTGAAGCTGAGGCCAAAGTTTGTGAGTGTGAGGGTTATGGAGCATGGCCCAGGCTGCCCAGAGAGGTTGTGGAGTCTCCTTGTGTGGAGACACCCAAAGCCCTGGCCGTGTTCCTGTGGGACTGCTCTGGTGATCCTGCTCTGGCAGGGGTTGCCCTGGGAGAGCTTTCCAGGTCCCTTCCAACTCCTGACATCCTGGGATTCTGTGACAGATCAACAAGAACGAGACACTGGTACATCAAGTACTTCTCAAGTTGCTTGTGCACTGGAATATAGGGCTGAGAAAGTTGGAGGTTTAGGTCAAGGTGTCACAGGAGGTAAAAAACAGCAACAGTGTGTCAGTTTAACACACTGCTGGAGGCT